GTTACCTTACAGTGGTTGGCAGAGGTCTCTGGGCTGGATCCTGACCCACACAAATACCCTTTTTTTCCACTTTGTTTGAAAAAGAACCATAGATGGTAGTGAGATAGCTCTAGTTTTTTCGAAGTCAGTCATGTAAGAACATCTGGTGATATTTTCAAAGGTGTGTTGTGAGGCTCCCAGGTGCTTTTGAAGCTACATTGGCCTCTGCCTCTTTTTGTATTTTGATCAAGACAGCCAGCAAGGCAAGCAAGGAAAAGAAGCGATGAAATAAGTCCCTGGCAAAAATATCTCAAAAGTTCCATCTGCATGTGAGGAAGAACTGCTTTACTGTGAGGGTGATAGAGCCTTGGAACAGGCTGCCTGGGGAGGTTGTGGAGTCTCCTCAGCAGATTTTCAAAACCTACCTGGATGCTGCCCGGTGCCATGTGCTCTAGATGTCCCTGCTTGAGCAAGGAGTTGGACTAGATGATATCTAGAGGTACCTTCCAACCTCAGCCATTCTGTGATTCTGTGATTCTATTTGAGGATCAACTCTTACTCATCTAGGAAAATGAGGAAATTTTAAGACATCTGAACAACCTCAAAGAGAAAGACTGAAAACTAAAAGTGGATCATGGGACAGAATGGCAGACAAGGCTATGTCATGTTTTGTTATGTGGTGTTTTGTTACCTCATCCTGTCTTATCTTAATCTTGTGTTATCTTATGGTATGTCATGTTACAGTTTGATGTAAATTTTTTTGGTCAAAGACTTCAGCAGCACCTGTCTGCTTTTACACATTTTTCCTTCATTCTCAAAGCTGATTATTTCTCAGGTTTTATCTCTGAGACCTGGAACTGCATCCAGAGGAACCCGAGCAGAACGATGAGTGACTTTTCCACTTAGCACCACATGCGACTTGCAAAAGGTGCTTAGGAAAGAATATAGCACCTGGGGCAAATGCAAACGGACCTTTCCAAGTAGCTCTCTAGTCTCCAGCTATTTGCAGCTACGGTATATCCTGACCAGGACATGTTTTTTATTTATTTAGTAGTCCTCAAATACTTTATTTTTCATTAAATTATATTTTTTCCCCTGAAAAGCCTGGCCTGGAAATATCTGGGACTCTGAACCTGAAAGGTAATCACTAGTGCTCTGAAGAGATGCAGAAGTTACTGTGGAACATATTGTTATTTACACACTAATTTCCCAGCGTTTTAATTTAATTCTTCTTCCCTAAATTGCAAATTTTTTTTTTTTTTTTTTTTTTAAGATAAAAATAAGAAGCTCGGGAAGTTAGTGTGACCACTAGATGGCGCAAACTGCTAAAACATACTGTGCAATACAATACAAAACCCTGAAATTTCTTAATGTGAAAGTGCTGAGACTATAAAGGGGAATACGTGCTGAAGATGCTCAGGGAGAGTGCTACGTGTTATCATTTGCTATGGGAGTGGGTGAATTTTCCTAAAATTTCACGGGGAGGACATGGTTGTGCTAAGGTGTTTTGTGGTTTGTCACTTCATTCATGATTGAGCTTCAGGAGAGTCTCCCAAGCAGACTCAGATTTCCCCATCATCAAAACACATTGGCAAAGATTTCTGGCATATTTTGGATTTTCATGCCAAATCAGAGCAATACTATATTTTGGAGTTCTGGGATGTTCTACTGGGCTGTGGCACACGCAGCTGACTGTGGCAGAGGGAACTGTAGCCACCTGAACTTCAGGGAAGCTCTATCAGGAAAACCTACTACATGGCATCAGAACCAGGGACCATCAGGTCTCATCTGGATGTTTCAGAAGAGATTGATTAGGTTAATGTCTGAGAGAAAACATTTAATGAAATTCCCCCAATTTCAGCATAATTAWTTTTATCTCCTTACATTTATCTATGTCTATGCCTCTGTAACCTTTCGGGAATCTTGCCGAAAGGTTACAGAGGCAAGATTCAAATCAAATCACTGACCGTGAATGCTAATAAATTGTATGGTCTCTTAACACTTAGGTTAGATTTAGTTACTAGTTCACACTTTTAAATGGGCATTTTATGTAGATGAATTTATGTGGGCTGGCTGTTTGGTCTTCTGTTACAGTCAGTGAACAGTTAAGGCTCTACTCAGCTGCCCACACTCACATACCTACAGTCAGCTGAGATGTTCTAAGATACCCAAAACACATGATATGGGATATACAGAGAACTCCTACCTCTCTGGACTGTCAGGTCCAAACACTGCTGGAGACAGGGCACTCAAGGATATCTTAAGTGGCATTCGTTGTGTCTGTGTGGCCGGAAGAATCAAGCCCCTAGACTGTTGTGATTTAGCTGACCAAAAAGTCGGGTGACCTGTTGGATCCAAAGCAGCATCAGCTAGATCTCCATCAAAAGACAGAACAGCACTGACCAGGGAAACTCCTGCAGAAAGCAGTACTAATGGTGAAATAARTCTACCTAGAAAAATAGAGAACTGGAAACCTTTAAGTTACAAATTCATACAGCCATCACATGGAGGTCATGGCCAAATGTTGCTCTGATGCGGTTCTCACAGTTTCAGTTAGAAGGTTGGAAATACTTGCTCTTGGGCTAGAAAGTGCCAATTTCAACATTCCTTACAGTTGGTTTACTTAAAGCAGCATACTGAAAGTGAAGAAAATGAGTGCTACCTGTTAGCTTTGAAGAGGAAAACAAGCGTGAAAGCAGAGCATCACCAAACTCTGCATGTGCTTGTGTGTTGGCAGAGCACAATTCCTAGACACAGCATGATGAGTCCTGGTGAAATGCATGTGAATGCTTAGCTGTTAGGTCAGGTCTTTCTCAAATGTCTCTGCTCATGCAGGCTGCAAGCATACCAAGCAATTTAATTTGATCACTCCCACTCAAAGAACAGCTGCTGATTTTGCCAAGTCAGCAAAAGTCAGCATTGAACATGCCTAATGTGAATAACAGATAAGTAATTACTTATCTGTCTCTAATGGCATTCCCAGATCTGTGACTATCATGTTACACCTTAAATCAGGAGACTATATTCTAAGGAGGGAGGAGAGATAATAATGTGAATAATTATGACCTGAGGCTTAATATTCACACACCAAACCCAACTGCATCTGGATCATGTTAAAACACACCTTGATCTTAGCTGAGTGCTGTGTCCTTACATACTCTTGCTGAGAGCATGAATAGAGTTGGATGCTCCTCACTGCTTTAGGCAATGCTTTTCCAAGTGGTTTCTTCATGGGATGGGTAACCCCTTGCCTGCTCTAACCCTCTATTTTGGTTTACTGATCCCACTTTCACCAGATGTGCTTAGGATCAGTTCTACAGCATTATCTTTGCACTGTCTGTGCACTGTCTCCCTATTCGAATTTACTCTGGGACTCAGCTTCTCACTTATTCAATGGGAAAAGTACTGTGATTATGGAAACAAAATAAATGCTGATCTTAGACACAGTGATAGCTGATGGAAGAAATCTTAGTCTTTGAGAAGAGTCCCACAATGCTTCCTGACCCTCTACTGGTCATTTCAGACTAGCAAACATCTCTCCTTCACATCCAGGTCTTCCTATTACATCTATGGTCAACAGGGAAGTTTTAACTTGCTTTTGTGGGGATGCTTCAGTTTCCCCTCGGTCTTCCGAGCACTAGGAGGAGCACTAGGACAGCCATCCTACTGTATCATTTTAAATGCCTGTCACTTTCCACATATAGGTCCCTTCCAACCTCAACTCTTCTGTGATTCTGTGATAAGCATATGCTGGAGAGGCACAAGACTCTAATTCTCTCTTCCCTTTGGCCCTTTGTTACTAAAACATGGACAAGATAGCAGGCTTATGAGCAGTCTGCTCTAATGTCAGTGAGGACATAGAGGATTACAGCCCTACTTCTCCCCCTACTCCTGTGCCAAATACACATCAAATCRTTGTTTTATTTTCCTTCCTTAAACCAGGTCTCAGCCTGAATCATTATTTTGAAATTCAACTTGAACCTCACTTGAGCCCATTCCTTGCCTCCCCTCAACCTGGTGAGAAGCTGAGGGTAATGCCTTGACCATCTCCCAGCAGAAACCTGCTCTTCATCTCATTTTTTGGGTCTTCTGGGGCCCGTAGGAAGCACTTTTTTAGTGTTCAGTTGCTAGATTCAGAGGACACAATGCTCCTAGGACAGATGCTCTCAGAGGATGGATATTTTCTGTGCGTGACATCTGGCTGGATGTGTGTCTGTCCAGAAGAACATGCTCCAGTGGCCCTGGGCCGTGCTTACACCTCACAGCAGGACTAGAGAGAAAATCTGTGAGGYTGAGAAGCTGGTGCTAATGTTAACAAAAGCCAAGGGGGTGTCTTGGGCCATGGTGGGTTGGAAACGACTGGCACGGAAAGGCAGAGACACAGGGCGCTGTAGCAGGGATGTGCCAGGCCCAGTGCCAAGGGCAGGAGAGGCGGAGAGGGAGCCCTGCCCTGCTCCTCTGGGAAGCAGGCCCCGGGGGCAGCTTTTGACATAAAAACAGGCCTCACCGGAGCAGGGAGGAGGAGGAGGTGCCGGGTCTGCCACAGGGCTGCACTTGCCCTTCCTGTATTCCCCGCRGTGCTGCAAAGCTTGTTTATGTGAATGGAGGGGACGTCATGGCTGTCCCCAACCCAAGAGGCTCCAGTGGCCCCCAGAGGGGCTAGCGGGGCCCTGCTGCCAGAGGAAATGTCTACCCTGGCCATTACCCTTTACRAATCTGGGGACAGGTGGCAATAAGTGACCCAAGGGTGGGTCAGGAGGGCTGCCCGGGGATGACCTGGYGTCCAACACACTGAGGTATGCGGTGTGGCCAGGCATGGTGCAGGGAGCCACGGTGAGGGGCACCCCTGGGAGCGCTGGATCGTCAGCCCGGAGAGGGAAAAGGGGCCGGTCCGGGGATGGGAAGGAGGAGAGGAGGGTGGGGGCAGCTCGTCTGCTGTCAGCCGTGCAGCCTGCCGCCAGCAGCAGCTGCGGCGCTCGCTCTCACTGCTGCTTTCCTCTCGCACGCTCCTCCGCAGCACCATGATCTTCTGGCTATGGCTCTGTGGGGCTCTCCCTGCCTCCACGGGGCAGCCCGACTCAGAGCTGCTCGCGAGGTACCTGGAGGAGAAGCTCATGGCTGATTACAGCTTCGCCGAGCAAGTAAGTTTGGAGGCGATCGCTAYGCAGCTGGTGGCCCCGGCTGGCTCGTTCCCCGCTAATTGACAGGGGGTTAATTGAGAGCAGCTGGCCAGAGAGCTCTTTGCATGGGTGCTCAGCAGTGCTTTGCATCAATGGTGGTGTGAAAGTAGCTCCTTCTCCCCAGACAACCTGTGTTACCCCCTAGGAAAATGCATTTAATTTGTTACCCATCTCCGGTGACAGATCAATGTCCACGTCAAAGTATTGTTCCCCTGGGAGTGTCCTGTCCTGCCTCCTTTAGCCTCTTGCTGCTTCTGCTTAATTACCAATCTCCTCTAACCCAGGCTTTTACAGCTGGCAGCGAAGGCTGTCTGCAGAAAGCTATGGTGTGGTTGCTCCTCTCTTCCAAAATTTCTGGGGGAAATTCACCTTCTTCAGGGCTCAGCRGCATCTCAACCACCTCTTTGGGAGGCTAGAGTGTGTCTGATGTGCTTGCTTGCACCCATATCTGCAGTGTGCTGCACCATGTTCCCCAAGGCCGAGGAAGGAGTTGCTGCTCCATGGCAGATCCCCTCCGTGGGGAAGCAGCTATTAATGARAAACTCCCTTGCTCAAGGTGCTAACCTGGGAAAGCACCGGCATGCTGCGATGCTGGCAAGGGCGATGCTGCCCCTGGATGGCTTTAGTGCTGACATCCCTATAGCTGCGTTAACAAGGCATTTTGCAGGGACAAGGCAGTTAATGTAATATTCTGGCTGCAGGCCAGACTGAGTAATTCTGCGTGCTTCAGTCTTGGAGGAAAGTTTTTCTGCTGTTTGTAATGCGATGGTCTCAGTTCTGCAGAACTTGAATTACATCTTTAACTTATGCTGGATGAAATGAACCCAATGGATTTCAGCTCATAAAATGCCTCTTGATCAGAGGAGAAGAAAATAAGTTTGACGCATTCCAGTGATGACTATCATATTGTTTAATTGTGTGACTTAGATAGAGAGCTGACAGGAGAATGATCTTTTTGCAAGTAAAGAAGAAAGTTTCTGTGGTAATTTGGGAGTGATTTAAATTTCCAGCTTTAGATTTGTCCTACAGGCCWTTTATGGACCTCCTATGTGACTCTGAGAAGGTGGTTTACCCACAAGTGGTCAATATCATATGACTCAGTTACCTAAATTTCATCAGATCTGAGATGCTGTAGTACTTGAGACACCCATGTGAGCCTGGGAGATGGGACACAGGRCCTATGGAGGATCTGTGCCTTGCTGGAGTGCCTCTTCCTGAAACTTGATCACTCCTTTAATCTCTTTGTGTTTCAGGTTTTCAGGTTCACATTCAGGGCAGGGAAATCATAAATATCCCTGCCAAAATTTTCAGAAATAGGCCACAGTGAAGTGGACTGATTTCTCTCTAGAGATTTGTTCTATGAAATGCCCACAAGGCAAGTTTGAGGAGGCCTGTTCACATGTATCTGTACCTCTCAGAGTTAGTCATTTAGTCACTCATCCAACCCATTTTAGAATGGGAAGAATCTCTGGACGTGCCCAACTTTTTCCCCTGTGCTGACCCCAACCTCATTGCTGATCCTGCTTAAAACATATTTCCTGATGAGGAATTTAGCCATATGCTATCGTTGCCTTCCGGAACCCAGCAGTCCTAAAGGAAGAGAATATTTCCATCACTGCCCTGCCAGTGGAGTGGTAGTTGGGAGTGTTCACACATCTGCTTCAGGGTAAAAAATCAGCTGAGAAACTCAAGGAAGTGTTTAATAGTGCTGAAATAACCTACCTGATCTTTCTGGGCCAAATGATGTAGCTTTTATAGCAGCCGTGTTGTTTCAGATCAGTGGCAGCAGTAGTTTCCAACAGAAAAGCTGTGATACATAAATAGAGGTTGTGACCTAGCCCACTGGGATAGCCAGATCTGGGAAAAGACGTCTGCTTACCCTCTCACTGAACACATGAAGCAAGTTAAGAGGAGACAGATGTTTCCTAGGTCAACACATCACACCCCATATAAACAAATCTCTAACCCTGAAGAGCATACAAGACTTTGTTTAACTGTAAGATCCTTGGATGACCTTCCTACACAAAGGTGAGCAAAGATGCTCGTATTTACAAGATTCGAGTACTTGCAATGAGTGTTGATTATTTATTCATTCATTGCATGACAATTCTGCTAAGGTAGACAACATGGTAGCTGGTTATTGAACTAGAAGGGGTTCTGGACAGCTCTTTAAAGGTATCTAGGTTGCTACTGCCCAACTTTTTCTAGGTATGCTGTGATAAGACTCTAAATTATCAGTGGGGTTGTTACTAGCATTTATTGTGTTTTAATGGGTACCTAAGAAGTGGAAGATTTAAAGCCACACATCAGTGGGAACTAAGAAATTGTTTCATTAGATGTTACTAGTGAAGCTACCTGGTTTGAAGTACTCGGATGGATCATCGGTATCATAAACCTCACAGTAATGCTTTGACGGTAGTCATGGAGTATAACAAACAGAATATTCATATCTAGAGGTCCTCAGCTACTGCCCAATGTCTACTATTTGTCCTCAAGACTACAGAAGGTAGCTCTTGAAGGAACCAAGCCATATGCGAATCAGCAAACAATCTGAGTGTGTGGTGATGCTGTGAGGATAAAATTGGTGACTAAATGGCCAGTTTCACTGGTYAGTAAAAACCACTGTGATTGTAGTGTGCAAGATACTAGGTGGATTTGTTGCAAAAGGGAACCTTCTAGTTAAAAAATACTAAGGAGCACTGATCTAATCATTGCCTCTGCTCCAGGTAGAATCATCTTAACAGATGTTTGGCTGGCTTGTTCTTAAGAATTTACTATGATGGAGACGAGGTAACTTCTTGTAGCAGTCTCCTGAGGTGCTTTAGTAGTAGTAAATACCTAGGTAGGAAGTTTCTTCYAAACCTTTCTCAGCAAAGTATTTTCTTCCACAGAAAATTTCCTTAGGGAAAAGCTGCTTTTCCTCAGCTACAGATATTGGCTGAAGTAATGAAGATGGAAATCTTAAAGTTTCTAACAGAACAGGCTGTTTAATTTCTCCACTGGGCTTTCCTGAGCTTTGCAGTGCATGATATAAACAGACATAAAATCATCTCTTTGGCACGGAGTCCTATTATTTTAGTATAAATAAACAGAAAGGGCAAATTGGGTAAAAAATTGTCATTACATTCATCTGCTCCCTCAGGTTTTACCAACATTTTAAAAAGTCACTTGGCTTCTCACATTAGCATACACTAATATTCTCCTGTTTTTCTTTTTTTTGGGGGGTGGGGAGAGGGAGGTGAGGCATGGATATGCAGATTTTGTTAAAATTGGACTTACACCAGAAGCAATGAAGTCAGAGACAAGAAAGGCAATACAATTAATGTAATTGGGTTCTTGTAGGTGAAACGCTTTGTTTCATCTGTTCAATCTGTTGCTAAATTTTTATGGCCCCCTTCATTTATTTATTTATTTATTTATTTATTTATTTATTTATTTATTTATTTATTTATTTATTTAGCCTAACTTGTGTTTCTTGGTCCCTGCAGCAAACCCAGCATACTTGTGGAGAGTTTATAGGCAACAGAGTTCCTGTTGAGGTAGCATCAATAACGCTGAAGTTGTTACACTAGTTTACACAAGTCCTTTCTTGAAGCAGGTCAACACTTGCAGCAGAATGGAGTCATGCTTGCTGAACCTCATTGCTTGGGTGCTTTCTGTCTGCATGGGTGGGACCCTGTTTCTGCTCATGCTCATTCACAACGTGCTGAGCTAAGGACAGTCTTTAATAAGGGGGCTTACAATGTGCTCAACCCTGTTCCTGCCCAGTGTCTGTAACCTATGATGAGGTTCTGAGTGCTCTTTCATGGAAAAAGTGTGAGAAGAGCCCAAGACAGAGTTAGGGGGATGGGCTTTGGATTTTACTTGTCTGAGGCTGTAGAAAGCCCTTCATGACACTTGATGAGCAAATTAAACAATCGCTAGCCTTAGTTTCTCCAGCAGTGGGCTGGTTAATTGCAAAACCTGATGAGATCCTAAAACATAAATGATCTAAGAAAGAGAGTCCCGCCTTGGTTTGACAGGCTATATCTGGCTTTTGAAGACAGTTCGTCTGGCCCATGGCAAGCTTCCAGTTTTCCTTTCCTAAAGAAGACAGAGGCATGTGGATCAGATATATTTTTCCTAGTAAAACCAACTTACTCACTACTTGCCCTGTGGGCCATTTAACAGGTCTTCTTATTGTGGGACGTATGTCCTGCAACCGAGGAAAGATAATGGCAAAAAGTCCTTGGGTACCTCTATAAAAGACTGCAAGGGAGTAAGCACCTTCTTGCCTGCAAGAGCCACATTCCAGCACTGAGCTTTGATCAGTGGGTCTGTTAATGTAGAAGGAGATTTAGGTTTTAATTTTAACCAGAGGAACGCTTGAACCTGGCCATGGGTAATCAGTCACACAAACCTATGCCTGGATGTAAACAAATGACAAATCTGCCTGTGAGTTGACTAGGCTCCATTAACTCCCTTAACTCTTTGCAGGTTGCGCGACGTGTCCCAAGGCAGACCAGATTTTTGCAGAGGCTGGTATGTATCAGACTGTGTTTTTACTATATGGGAATTATAGCAGCTCTGTGCATATATGGGCATGTGCAACCCTGCAATCAGAAAAAAAAATCCATATTTGTGACTGCAGGGTGAGATTCTAGGAATTGAATCTGCATTTTGGTCAATGCAACAGGTGCAGCTTCTTCTAATGCTTTGCAATCAGTCTTCCTGACTCCAGACTTGGGCAGTCAACTTTCATTGTTATCAGCCTCGAATGTGGAAGAACAGGAGACTGACTGATTTTTTTTTTGTATTTCAAGAAAAAAAAAAAGGAGGTCTTTGCAATTGACTTGTGTTTTCTCAAATGTGAGGATCATGTTGTTCTTTCTTTATATAGAGATGAAAATTTACTGGAAAAAAAGAAGAGATCAAGTTAGCCCATATGTTCTTTATCCTACTCTCTTTTTCACCTAAGCTTTAAGATGTGTGCTTTGATTTCTGAGACATATAGCAAGTGTGCAAGATCTGGCTACATTGCTGCATGGCCTCGATTCACGGAAACTTTGACTAAAGAGGTAGTCAGTGAAAGTGATATTCAGAACCAGTTATTTTTATGTTTTTTTTCTGAGGCATGGATGCTTCACAACTGAGAACTGGAGGAATTTAATTTCCACACACTGAACAGCCATCAAGTGGTAATAGTTTTTGACCCCTTTGATCTTGGGCAGATTTGAATCAACAGCCTAGAGGAGAACAACTCTGAGTCCTGTTGCAAATTTGTTACTTTTAATCTGACATGTGGTCAATCTATCTTGATCAAAGTGACTGATAAATGCAAAAACACGGAACGTATTTCACTTATCTTCAACTCTTTTCCATCTTTTTAAGCATTTGATAAAAACAAGCATAAAACCATTTATTTGGCAAGAAAATTTCAGCTCTCACTTCAGTGTAGTGAAAGGACACCTTAATAAAGCATCTAGTCAACCTGCCTCATAGTAACATGCTAATCTGCGGCCCTAGCTTTTATTTCTAATAGGAATAATAAATCGCAGCAATAATAATATTAAACAAATGTTTTGGTTTTTTTTTTTTTTTTTTTTTTGCATTGTGCTGTCTCTCATCTTCTGAAGGGCTTAATAACAAGTGGAGAAAATAAACACGCATTTGCACAGCTGTAGGTCAGAGCATCACCACTGATGGATTGTGCAAGAACTTGAGGGAATGCAGAAGAATCACAGATTGGAACCTGGGCTGCAAGCCAGGCCCGACCTAGCAACCTGTTTGGAAGCTGCCTCTGCCCCCACTGTTTATTTTTTCTCTATATACAAGGAGCAGCAGATCCCTTCCAGGTCTGGGAATATGAATCAGCTCTTTCATCCTCAGTTTTAAGTTATCAGTGCTTGCCTCTTCCAGCAATAACTCTTGCCCATCGGAACGTAGAAGGGAGAGGTGTTGAATTGTTGATTTTTTCCTTTTTTATCCCTTTTTTTT